GGGAGATTTAATCAGGAGAAACTGAAGAGGAGGGAGGTCTCAGGCCTCACAGCATAAACACTTCCTCACACTACCAGGCCCAGAGATACAGCACTTCTCCTTCACCCTCCAAATTCCAAGCATCCTCCACAGCAGGCTCCGATCCCCGAGACACAACAGCATCCCTTGCATCTCTGTAAATTCCAAGCATCCTCCATAGCTGGGCCCAAGCCCTCCTCTTCCAGGCAGCCTTCCCTGGATGCTCTAGGAGATTCCCCTCTAGGGAAGCTGCCCCTAACTCCAAGCCCATTCCGGTCCTAAGGAGAAGGCTTTCCAGCTGGTGTGGTGCGGTGAACTTGAGAGACCCAGAGGGTCCTCATTGTCCTCCTCTACCCAATCCATAGGAGAAAACAGTGCGAACAGGACAAAAACTGTCCCATCGGACAGTGGCTTCAACAGGCACCTGTCAGTTTCCTTTCTGGGTTTGGGTACAGCAGTTCCCCTCTGAAAAAATGAGGTCTGGTACCTGACCCAACCCACAGCTGTAACTGTGGAGGAGCGAGGTGAGCGCAGGCTGGTAGAGGAGGTGACACAAGTTTCAAAGAATCTATGTCAGATGTCCCTGAGGTTGCGCCAGCCATGGTGCCTGGCCCCATAAAGCCTGGCCTTGGACTCTCTTCCCTTTCTGGGGGTCTCAGGCCTCAGGGGTTGACGTGGGGTCTCTATAAATAGTGCCATTCCATATTGATCATTTTAAAAAGACACGGTATGTTCTGGGCCCACAGAGAGGAGAGTTGTGTCTAAAAATAGTCTCACTGCCAGGAACCGCTGCCAGCGGATGCGAGCAGTGCAAGCCATGCAGGGCTGAGGGGCCAGGCCACTGAGAGGTGGGGTCAGCGTGAGGCTGGGACGGCACATGCTGAATGTGTGCCTGTCTCAGGGCCTTTGCACTGGCAGCTTCTCATCAACACCCTTTCCTGGATCTCCCCAGACTCAGTTCTTTCCCATTGCTTAGGCCTCAGACCAATCTCTTCCTTCACAAGGCCTTCCCTGGTCAGCCAGTCTAGAATCACCCTGGATCTTGAATCACACCCTGTTTCATTCCCTTCCAGCCCTGGTCCCTGTGGAACATTATCTTTTGTTATCTATTTGTTTAATGGTATATCCAGTCTGTATTTCTGTATTTCCCAAGCAATATATGAATTTCATGACAGCAGTTATTGTAGGATTGTAGGTCTTTTTTTTTTTTTTTGAGACAAGGTCACTATGCAGGTCAGGCTGGCCTTGAGCTCACTTTGTGGCCCAGGCTGGTCTTGAACTCACAACCATCCTTATGCCTCAGCTTCCCGAGTCCTGGGATTACAGGGATGCACCACCATGTCCGGCTTATTGTAAGTTTTAAGACACTTTCTAGAACCTTCCATGGCATCAAGTAGACACTGAATGTCCTCCTCAGGCCCTTCCCACGACCCCAGGCTGAACTTGGCCAACCTGTGTCAGGCCAGCTTGAGCTGGCAGAAGGTGTGGTTGGTAGCTGCAGCCTCTGCCACCCTATGGCTCTGTCCACAGTGGCCCATGAGCCTTGCCTTCTCGCTGTCTGCCCCCTCTGTGCTTCAGTGGAGGGACTTTCACCTCTATCTCTATTTTCCCTCTTCAACCATCAAATCCTTTGAAAGTGCTGTCTACACATGCTGTCTCCACGTCCTCACCTCCTACTCACCTTCAACCCACACTCCAAACTGGCTCCCATTCCTACCAGGCCAATCTCTGATCCACCCAACCATTCATTCATCAGAGTCCACTGGTGCAGGGCACTGTATTCTTGAGCGCAGAAGGAAACTTGTCCTGGAGGTTGCCAGAACCCTGTGGCTGCTCAGTCTAATGGGCCCTTAATTGTAAATTAGCCATCTTTCTCATCTACCCAGAAACTTCCCAGAAGGAAAACCAGGGACTAATCCTGCCCTAGGACATTTCCCTCTCTGCCATGTGGACAGCTCCAGCTCCTGATTTTCTCCTGTCTCTCTGGTTGCTTCCTCAAGCCTTCTTCCTAGATTTCTGCCTTCATGTTGAAGTGCTTTTGGCTCCTGACTCAACTCTCTTCCCTCTCTTCCCCTTTCCCACAAAGCCACTGTGCCTGAGCTCCACCCAAGAACCAACTGGATTAGTGCTGGAGCAGGCACTGGTATTTTTATGGAAAGTTTTCCAAGTGAGGTTGATGTTGTCAGCACTGAGAGCCAAAGGTCTGACATTCTCTCTGAACTCCGCTTCACCGCTGCAGCCGAGGACTCCAAGTTCCGGTCTCCAGCCCAGATCTCCTTCCTGAGTGTGCCTCCTGCCTGGATCCATGCCCCCAACTCCCTGCAGGCAGGCAGCTGCTTTCGGGGAACCTTGAAACACCTCTTGGCTTCCTTCTGTTCTTTGGGCTCCACTTGCCCTTCCTGCTTGCAGAATGCCACGGGGCCACGTTCCTTGCTCCTCGAGCCCACAAAGTCAGAGATTACAGGGCAGTGGGTCTCTTCATAGGGACACAGGCATGTCTCATGTTCTGTCACCTGTAGTCACCTGTCCATTACCTTTCCTTCCACTGAAAGGCTACTGACACTACCCACTGTCTGCCCGGGAGGTGGCAGGGTGCAGAACAGATCCACTGATGCCAAATTCTGCTACCCAGGGTGGGTGTGACAGTGTGCAGCTACTTCACCTCTTGGACCTCAGTTTTATCATCTGCAAAGTGGTCATTATTGTCCCCTGCCGCCAGGAGAGATACAAGGAGCGGGGCTTCACAAAGGGCTCAGGGTAGCCTAGCCCACAGCACACACAATGTTCATGTTAGCTATTTTTATACCATTACTGAGGATAAATTCCCACTCCTGAGCACAGCTCACAACGTCCCCATGATTGTCACTTACTTGGCTTTCACTCCATTCTTCTACCCTTGCACCACAGACCCAACAGGTCCTAATTTATATCTGTTCTGTTTCGTATCTCCTTGCCCTTGTACAGGCCAGGTTTGAAGGCTGGACTGCACCCTGAAAAACTCCTATTTGCCTTTCAAAACCCAGGTTATTTTGGTTAGAAAGATACCTTTGGTTGCCTGGCCAAAGGTAATCACTCTCCTTTGAGTGGGCTCTGGGGTTGCACTTTTACCACAGCACACCCTTCCGAAAACTTCCTCAAGGATCAGCAGGGTCTGGCCTCCCATAAAAAAGGCTTCCGTTTATGGACCCCTTCTCTGTGGATGGCACAGGCCCCAACCTCTCCTGCTCCCCTGCTCCCCGCTCTCTGGTGCTTCCCAGTCTTTTCCCAAGCCCACTCTTTGGGACAAGTGAGTCCACCGTGGGATTCTATCAGAGGTGCGCTGTTCACTATGAAGAGCAGAGGCCAAGCACAGAGAATGCAATGGTAGCCCAAGTTGCACGGGCTGAAGGCCTCTTCCCTTTCTGCTCAGATCCTCTATCCCGAGTGGTGCCCTGAGTCCAGTGACTTTCTCTGTGACCTTGAATAAGTCCTTGATGCCCCCTGGGTCTCAGTTTCCTTACTTTTACAACATGGAGGTGACAGAACTCTGTTAAAAGTTTGATAAGGCTCTTATAGCACCGCAGCCGCTAACAAAGAATCTGTTCCTTTTCTGGCTGTCCCCTCCTGGTCTCAGTCTCCTATGATGGCTGCCTGTCACTCTCCCTCAGTCCTCCCTATCACTGCCCCTCACATGTACCTGCCCAGTTCTCACGGGGAGGAGTTGAGGTCAGTGTGGCCAGGGCCTCTGTTGATCTAGGTCTGGGGTTGGTGGGGGCTAGGGAGAGGGCCAAGGTGCCCGGTCTCCTGCAAGTTGCCTGGTTTCCTGCAAGTCACGCGGTATGCTGGCTGGGTGGCACTGCCTAGTGTCCCCAGGAGAAGAGCTTGAGGTCTCAGCCAGAGGTGAGCAGATAACGGAGGAATGAAAACCAACCCAGGCCTCAATAGGATCCTGATTCCCAAGTCCCCAGTCTGGGCTCAAGTATGAGTCGTGCCACAGCTGCCCTCCAACAGGTGTTAGCCAGGCAGGCTTGCGGTCAGAGGCTTGTCCCCAGCATCTCTCAGCCACCACCTCTACCACCAACCACCATTCCCTACAGCTCCGGCTCCACCAGCCCCCCAGATCAGGCCAGGCAAAGACATGAGAAGGCACCTCCACTTCTCCCAAGTGCCACTCAAGACAGCGAAATAACACAAGAGGTCAAGAGCAGCTTCCCTTCTAGCCAGGGCGTGAGCCTGACCGGGTCTAAGCTAGAGCAAGGAAGCAGAGGACTCCCCCAGAATCTCAGTGCCCAGAGACCTTTCTGCCTTCTGCGCACACAGAAACCATTTAGAGGAGACGCGACCACCTTAGGGCTTCAAAGGGCACCTAGATCTCCTCGTGGTCCCAGTGCCCAGGGATAGGAAACGCACAGAACTGTTCTGCGTTACAGCGCACGGCGCTCTCCTGTCAAGGCACACAGAGATCTCGTCCAACAGAGACAACAGCTCTAGCGGGAGGCTCCTTCGCGCCCAGAGAAGGGGTGCTTGGCCTTGTCCCCCATTCCCACTCCTCCTCTGCCAACCCCTTCACACTCGTTCTCTGGAAATACGTTGGCTGCGTGCCTTGTCGCCACTCTGACCTTGGGGTCTCCGCCTCAGGAATCCGGGTCCCAATTCCAGACCCTGCCGGAGCCTGCGCCAGGGATGGCCGGGAAGCCCGGGTGGGAGCGCCCCTCCCCCGGCCCTCGACAGCGCAAGGGAAACCCGGAAGGGAAGGGGAGGGGGCGCCAGCTACCCGAGACGCCCCTCCAGGGGGAATCCCCGCCGGCCGGAGCGCGCTGCGCCCCTTCTACTCTGGCTCAGCCTCTTGGGCGCGATGGGGGAGGGATAGGACCGGCAGACGCGGGCCGGGAAGGGGGCGAAAGGGCCGGAGGTTCCGGCCCTCGGGGAGGACAGTCGGGCGGCTGCGGGCGGCGGGCTCGGGCCGGGCCGGGCCGCCGGGCGCAGGGGCGTTCTCTCCTCACCTGCGGGTCCCCGCCTGGCCCCCGGCGGGTGGCTGCGATGGGCGCGGACACGGCTCGGCACCAGCTCTGGGCACGGGCGCAGGCTCAGGAGCCCCGGGGGCGCGATCCCCGCATCGCACGGCGCCGCGGCCGTCTCGGCTCCGGCTCGGCTCGGCTCGGGCTCCGGGCTCTG